GGTCCTCAGGGCGTCCTCTACCGGTCTCCATTTGCTTTCTGATGGTATGTTAGGCTCGGCAGGGTTGTTTCTTTTGAAAGCTTGTTGAAGAAGTCTTTAACCTTCTGCATGGTGTTGAGTGAGGCGGAGTCTTGGTCCGTACCCACCAAACCGACAGAATCCTTGTGTATGCGGTGTGTTCCTATTGCAGTACGTGGTTTCTAGATGGAGAGTTGTTAGTTTTCTTAGAAAATTAGGGAGAGTTTTAACTAGTTTCTTCAAAATTTTGTTCATAAAAAATTCATTTTCCTTTTACTTTCAGTTTCCTTTAATTTAAATCCCTTAATCTGAAGAGGAGTTTTGATTTTGGACTGAACCTGGGCGACCCGGTTAAGCTCCGGTATTGAGTCTCCGGATTGGGAACAGGTTGGTTGCTGTAATCCGCCAACTCGGCTCCGCTCGGACAGAGAGGCTGCTGCGACCCTCAGGCCTCAGCCAGTCGGGAGTCAGACTCTCCTGGGCAGGCCCTGGCGGTGGACGACCACGGACCCGTGTCCTTAGAGACTAGTTCGCTTTCTCTTGGTGCCAGATTAATCACCTTTACACTAGGTGGCTGTTTCCTTAATACTCTGACCGAAACTTGAGTGTTTTTTTGTTGTTGTTGTTTTGTTTTTTTTGAGCAGTGGTTCTCAACCATCTGGCCCTTTATTTTATTTATTTCTTTTAATTTTGTTTTATTGCTTAAAGTATTACAAAGATTATTACATATGTCTCCTTTTTTTCCCCGCTTGACATTCCCCCGGCCTCCCCTACCCCCCAGTGTCTTGTGTCCATTGGTTATGCTTATATGTATGCATACCAAGTCCTTCAGTTGATCTCTTACCCCCCCTCCCACCCCCCAACCCTCCCCAGCCTTCCCGCTGTAGTTTGACAGTCTGTTCGATGCTGCTCTGCCTCTGTATCTATTTTTGTTCATCAGTTTATAATGGTCTTTATTATCCATAAATGAGTGAGATCATGTGGTATTTTTCTTTCATTGCCTGGCTTATTTCACTAAGCATAATGCTCTCCAGTTCCATCCATGCTGTTGCAAATGGTAAGAGTTCCTTCTTTTTTTACAGCAGCATAGTATTCCATTGTGTAGATGTACCACAGTTTTCTAATCCATTCATCTGCTGATGGGCACTGGGGCTGTTTCTAGATCTTCGCTATGGTAAATTGTGCTGCTATGAACATAGGGGTGCATATATCCTTTCTGATTCGTGTTTCTGGTTTCTTGGGATATATTCCTAGAAGTGGGATCACTGGGTCAAATCACTGGGAGTTCCATTTTTAACTTTTTGAGGAAATTCCATACTGTCTTCCACAGTGGCTGCACCAGTCTGCATTCCCACCAGCAGTGCACGAGTGTTCCCTTTTCTCCACATCCTCTCCAGCACTTGTCGTTTGTTGATGTGTTGATGATAGCCATTCTGACAGGTGTGAGATGGTACCTCATTGTTGTTTTGATTTGCATCTCTTAGATGGTTAGTGACTTTGAGCATGTTTTCATATGTCTCTTGCCTTTCTGAATGTCCTCTTTTGAAAAGTGTCTATTTAGGTCCTTTGCCCATTTTTTGATTGGATTGTTTATCTTCCTTTTGTTAAGTTGTATGAGTTCCCTATAAATGTTGGAGATTAAAGTCTTATCGGTGATAACATTGGCAAATATGTTCTCCAATGCAGTGGACTTTCTTGTTGTTTTGTTGATGGTTTCTTTTGCTGTGTAGAAGCTTTTTATTTTGATGTAGTCTCATTTGTTTATTTTCTCTTTAGTTTCCAATGCCCTAGGAGCTGTATCAGTGAAAAAATTGCTTCGGCGTATGTATGAGATTTTGTTGCGTTTGGATTCCTCTAATATTTTTATGGTTTCCCATCTTACATTTAAGTCCTTTATTCATTTTGAGTTTATTTTTGTGTATGGTGTAAGTTGGTGGTCTAGTTTCATCCTTTTGCATGTATCTGTCCAATTTTCCCAACACCATTTATTGAAGAGACTGTCTTGACTCCATTGTATGTTCTTGCCTCCTTTGTCAAATATTAATTGAGCATATTGGTTCTGGTCGATTTCTGGGTTCTCTATTCTATTCCATTGATCTATATGTCTGTTCTTGTGCCAGGACCAGGCAGTTTTGAAAACAGTGGCTTTGTAATACAGTTTGATATCTGGTATTGAGATCCCACCTACTTTGTTCTTCTTTCTCAAGATCGCTGTAGCTATTTGGGGTCTTTTTTTATTCCAGATGAATTTTTGGAGAGTTCATTCTAGGTCTGTGAAATATGCCCGTTGGTATTTTAATGGGTAGTGCGTTGAATTTATAGATTGCTTTGGGTAGTATGGACATTTTGATGATGTTGATTCTACCAATCCATGAACATGGTATGTTCTTCCATCTGTTTATGTGTTCCTCTATCTCTTTTTTCAACGTCCTGTAGTTTTCCGCATATAAGTCTGTTACCTCCTTAGTTAAGTTTATTCCTAGGTATCTTAATTTTTTTGATGAGATGGTAAATGGGATTGCTTTTTTAGTCTCTCTTTCTGTAAGTTCACTATTGGTGTATAGAAATGCCATAGATTTCTTGGCATTAATTTTGTATCCTGCTACATTGCTGAATTCATTTATTAAGTCTAATAGTGTTTTGATGGAGTCTTTAGGGTTTTCTATGTACAATTTCATGTCATCTGAGAATAAGGACAGTTTTACTTCTTCTTTTTCAATTTGGATGCCTTTTATTTCTTCTTCTTGTCTAATTGCAATGGCTAGTACTTCCAGTACTATGTCAAACAGGAATGGTGAGAGTGGGCATTCCTGTCTTGTTCCTGTTCTTAAGGGAAATGGTTTTAGTTTTTGCCCATTGAGTATGATGTTGGCTGTGGGCTTGTCATCTATGGCTTTTATTATGTTGAGGTATGATCCTTCTATTCCCACCTTGCTGAGAGTTTTTATCAAAAATGGGTGTTGGATTTTGTCAAATGTTTTTTCTGCATCAATTGAAATGACTATGTGGTCTTTTTCTCTCAATTTGTTTATGTGATGTATCACGTTTATTGATTTGCGGATATTGTACCATCCTTGCACCCCTGGGATAAATCCTACTTGGTCATGGTGTATGATCTTTCTGATGTACTGCTGGATCCGATTTGCTAGGATTTCGTTGAGGATTTTGGCATCTATGTTCATGAGGGATATTGGCCTGTAATTCTCTTTCATTGTGTTGTCTTTATCTGGTTTTGGTGTTAGGGTGATGCTGGCTTCATAGAATGAGCTTGGAAGTGTTCCTTCCTCTTGAATTTTTTGTAGTAGTCTGAGGAGGATAAGTTTTAGTTCTTCCTTGAATGTTTGGTAAAACTCCCCTGTGAAGCCGTCTGGCCCTAGGCTTTTGTTTGCTGGAAGCTTTTTGATGACTGCTTCAATTTCTTCCATAGCTATTGGCCTATTGAGATTTTTAGATTCTTCCTGATTCAGTTTTGGAAGGTTGTATTTTTCTAGGAATATGTCCATTTCCTCCAGGTTGTCTAGTTTGTTGGAGTAGAGTTGTTCATAGTATTTTTTAACAATCATTTGTATTTCTGTGGGGTCTGTTGTTATTTCACCTCTATCATTTCTGATTTTGTTTATTTGGGTCCTCTCTCTTTGCTTCTTGGTGAGCCTGGCTAGAGGTTCATCAAACTTGTTTATCCTTTCAAAGAACCAGCTCTTGGTTTCATTGATCTTATGTATTGTTTTTTTGGTCTCTAGGTTATTTATTTCTGCTCTGATCTTTATTATCTCCTTCCTTCTGCTCACTCTGGGCTTTTCTTGTTGCTCTCTTTCTAATTCTTTGAGTTGTAGAGTTAGATGATTTACTACCATTTTTTCTTGTTTTTTGAGGTAGGCCTGTAGAGCTATAAACTTCCCTCTGAGGACTGCTTTCATTGTGTCCCATAGGTTTCGGATTGTTGTGTTTTCATTGTCATTAGTTTCCAGGATGTTTTTAATTTCTTCTTTGATCTCATTGGTAACCTGAGTGTTTTTGACAATTTTAAATAATTATCCGCCTGCGCTGCAGAGAAATTTGTTTTGGAATCCTGCTGGCTACGCCAATTATCCCAATTATGCCCCAATTAATTAGTTATCTGTCTAGATTTAGTGGGACATGTGCAGATGACCAGGGGTCAACAATAATAGCCTATCCCTGGTACTTCAAACCTAGACAGTTGAGCCGAACCAGAACACATGAACACACAAGACAGAATTAGTATGCAATCACACAGGGTTTATTTACTTATTCCTAGTGGGTCCTAGGCTCCAGCAAAGGCCACCAGGCAATGCACACCGAAAGACGGACGACGAAGATGGAGACAGACAGGTGGCCACAGTTGGGTCAGGCTCATACAGCACAGCAGTCAGTCAGGGGCTCGTCTCACGGAGTGAAAGTCCACGGAGTCTCACGTGGAGTCCACCTCTCATCAGGCAGGAAACGTTCACTGAAGAAAAATCTGGTGCTTATATAGCCAGTAGTAAACAACTTGTGTCTTATCAGTGTGGGCCAGACGGTGTGTCTTATGCTAGGAGCAGGGTGTTTACACTTTAAGGGTATTCACATCAAGATAGTGGGGTGTTCACCACATTTTGGAAGTTACAGAGTATTGGGGTCTTCACACAGCTAACATTTCACACAGTAATTATTTCCACACATTAGAGGGGCTTTCTTATGACCATAACATATTATAACACTAAGGAACAATGCAGCTCAGTCAACAGGACAGCAGCCCAGTGAATAGCTGTGGCAGGAAACAATGAACTGCACATAAGTCTACTTCACATTGGAGCTTTTTCATAAAAATCATACTATGGTAAAACAAGGTATAAAGAATGACGTTTACTTAATTCCATCACACACCTGGCTTCACAATGCACACAGATGTCTAACAAACACTTGGCCATCTTTAAGGATACAGTATCCTAATGGTCTCCTCATTTCTATCTCCCTGTGGAACAAGGGACCACGTGGACTCAGGAGATAGTGGACTTAATACAAAATGAAGGTGATGTTGACCTAACTCAACGAGCACCTACTCATGTGAGTTTTCCTTTCATCGAATGGATAATCCCGTCCATAGGATCGGGTGAGTGTGAATAACTTCACTTGATTATACTCCTAAATGCAGACTCAGAATGCTGACTATCAAATAGCCTCCCAAAACTCTAGACACTCACACAAGTATATCAATATACTTGTGACTTTGTCTTTTTAAAAAACTGTATCTGGCCCATGCTGTTCTCCAGCCATCTCTTCTAATGGAGTCACTGTTCATACGGAAGGAAGTTAAATGTTGATCCTCTAATTAGACATTAATTGTACTCCACAAGGAGGAGCCTAAGTGATTTTCTGGTCAACAGGTTGGGATTTGGGTTCTTATTTATTTGGTTTGCTGTTTGTTATGGTTAGACATTGTTCAAGCCAGAACATTAATTCGTCGGTTGGACACATCCTCGCGGGTCAGACCACAGAGCTGCCTGACATTGTCCAGTTGGCCCTCAGGTGGTGACAATGAAAGCAGCATATTGTGAAGCACAGCGAACAATAGTGGGAAATGATCAGAATCATTTTTCAGGCTTGGAACAAGCTAATGCGATGCCCTCACCACGGACCCTGAAAACACACCTTCCCTTCCAACTGCTGCCTCCGTCTTTCCTGGAGAGAAACTGTCAGGTAAAGAGCAACAGGAGCTCTGAGTGACACTCTGGTCTTCAATCTACTTCCTCAGAAAGCTCTTTACTTATTAAAGGAAAACCCTTCACCTCTTCCCAACAACCGCGTGCACGCGGCTCTGAGCCTTTCACCTCCCAACACCCACATCCGGGATCCGCATCCGAAAGACGGACAGACGGACGGATGGACGGATGGATGGACAGACGGAGCTTGTGGGCACTAACCCGCGCGCAGCGGCCTCACGGGCTATTTCTCTCCCCGCAGATAATCTATGTGGCAAGAAACCCCAAGGACAACCTGGTGTCTTACTACCATTTCCACAGGATGAATAAAGC